AACACCTGCTTGTGATGGCAATGCAGTTCCTTGGATTCATCCCAGCAAGCATCCACAGTGATGCAGTGGCAGTATTTGATATTCCGGACAAAATTGATTCCCCCCTAACCTGTTTGGTTGTTTCTACACTTTCTCCAACTATAAACACAGTCTGAATTCAAGTGACGCTTTTAATTTCTGAAGAGTTAATTAAACGACAAAATTAGCTTCGGTTTTACCCGTTTGACTTGCTGTGCTAGCCGGCGTCACTTCGTGTATAATTGTACATATATTGAGCAGTCCATTACAATAAGGCATTCATTGATCTTTGGTCACTACTCACTCTCACTCTCTCTCATATGAAAAGGCACAAAAAAAAAAAAACTCCGCACTGCTAAATCTTATATTTTGGATAGCAGGTGGTATTATTTTATACTCCTCCGGTCCTTATTATAAGACCCAATTTGACTTTTTATTTGGTCCTAATTATAAGACCCAATCCATTTTGTCTCTTATATTTATGCATTTTTTTCCAAGATAATCCTTCTAATAATGATAGTTTTAGCCAATATACTTAATTAGCAAGGATATTTTAGGAATAACAACATTTATTTATTATAAATAACTAACTTAACTTACTTCCTTAATTTCCTCAAATAAGTCAATTGGGTTTTATAATTAGGACCGGAGGAGTATTGTTTTTAATCCCAAAATTCAAAACAAAAGAGAATATTATTGGTGCCAGCCTGCGACCAAGGTGGGAGGTGGGGAATTACAGAGTACTAGAAAGTAGAAACCTAACGTGTTTGTCTTTTCTTTTGGCCAACTAAATATGTATGTTTCATATATCCAATAAGTGTTTTAAAGCTATATAAAATATTTAAATATCTTTTTAACATTTTTTTTTGTTTATCACTGTAAATACCACCAATCCACCATACCACGGTACAATTATCAAAGGGGTAATAAAACTAAAAGGGGGGAAATGCTCATCCAGCAAAATCCGACAGCTTTATCTATTATTACCCTGGTCTAAGCTGTTGGCTCTTCACACGTGTACTTGAATAATAATCCATGAAATAAAATTTACTCTAGAATAGAAGGCACTGTTCCACCGTTCGAAGTGGGATTCATTTGGTGGGGCATGCTCATGTTTCTCGATTCTAGTTTCCCATCATATATACATACCCACACGCACGTCCAAGAAACGCGACTGCATCATTTTTATTTCATTCCTCACAAACATTGGATTTCCGGTCTGCTTGCATTCCTCTTCTCTGCTCTCTCTTTGTTGGGGAAAAGGCATAAGATGAATCGGAATGAGAAGAGATCAGAGGAAAGCTGTGGCTGCTATCTCCACCCAAAACAGAGGGTTGTGGGGGTGTGTCCCTTGTGTTTGAACGAGAAGCTCCTCATTTTAGCAGAAAAACAGGGCCTCTCTGCTTCCACTCGCACCAAGTCACAGTCAACTTCTTCCATCCAAAGCATCTTTCCTTTTCGTTTTCTTTTCTCTCGTCCTCGCTCTCGTGACCATTACTGTCATTCCTCTTCCAGTCCAGAAGGTAATACCCTAATAATGCCTCGCATCTGTCAATTTCTCTTCTTCTTCTTCCTCTTCTTCCGATCTCTCGCTTTCTGTTCAAACATTTTCTAAGACAGAGAGAAACCTTTCTCTTCCCCCTGGGCATCAAGCATAATAATTAGTAGTATAATAGTGGGTGGTTTTGATTTTATTTTCTTTCAATTAGTCGTTGATGGTGAGGTGGGGGCAGGGGTTGTTGGTGTCCATGAATGACTTTCATTATGAGAGGAGAATTAGCAGGGGCAGTGCATGTGAGCGTGTCTTTGAGTTCACGACTTGGTTGGGGTGGTGACAAAACTAAGGTCAAAAAGCGTGGATGTTAAGACAAGAGTGTGAGGCAGCAGGTGAGGATTTGGCCTGTCATTTGGCAGCTTGATTCAAATACCGAGAGCCCTTATGATACTGAACAAATTAACACTGTTGCTACATTATATTATATATGGATATGGTGGGAAATTTGGGTACACAACAAACTGGGTAAGTTGTCTTCTTTTTGTTTTCGTACTCATAATCAATAACGCTAAGACCAAAGCTATATCACTGCTTCCAATGCAAGATTTTTTTTTTTTTAAGAAAAAAAGGGTGATACTGATAACCAAGAATGTTTGATTTTGAACGGACTTGCTCCTTTAATCATATAAGATATGCTAATTCACAGAATGAACAGAACAAGTAGGTGACCATATGTGTATGTAGGCATAGTATCAAATGAACTGATCTTCCAAAAATCCAACACCGGTAGTTCCTTCAGGTGCATCAGCGCACTGCTACTGCATAATTTGAAGTTCTATTTTGTCCTTTAATCCTAGTTTTGCTGCTCTTTCTCTTTTCAAAGATTATTAAAGCGTTGGTAGCCATAATGACGTTCCAGATTAGCCTTTCATTTACAGAGTCATTCATATCAATCAAGTTTGAAGGGAATGGGGTAGCATCGTGGGAGAAAAACACAGCGTCTGAGGTGACTATGAATAACTGCGACATGTCCTGGAACCATGCCAGCCTGATGATCCCAAACAAGGACTCCAAGAAGAGGGTGATAGAGCATGGGAAATCACGTGATCCGCTGAGGTGGCGGAAGCGGATAGGGCACCTGTTCCAAGTCATCAGATGGAAGAAATCCATGAACGGCCACGTGGAAGGAGTCAAGATGAGGAAGAGTTGGATGAGGACGCTGACGAAGAGAAAGACAGCGGATTTGAAATAAAGGAGAAGGCTTTTCAATTTTCGTTGTGGGTGGGGTTGCTCCAAACTCCTCACCGTCACTATATACTAAAAGTTATATCAACACTATATAGATGATAGACTCATACTAGCTTTACTCGGCTAAAAGATTTGCCCTTTTCAGTTCATAAAAGAAGAACAACAGCTGCTCTGTAATAGTATGCTTTTGAGGTCTGAGTGCTTGGAGTTCTTGTCCATTAATTTTGTTGTGCAATCTCTCTCTATTAAAGCTTCTCCATAGTCCACACAAGCTGCAAAGAGTTTATTAAATTGCTTTGATTTTAAGATATATTCTATACTAAAAATGGGGTAGCAGTTTGAGTATTTTCTTATATGAACTGTGCAGGACTGGCCAAACTCCCCATGTTAGGTACCCATAGCGGGAAACAGTAAGGCACAAGGGCCCTATTGGGGGACGCCGGACGCGATAGGACTTTGTCCTATTGTTGTCACTAAGCGAAACAATGTGTAGTTCCTTGGAATTGAATTCAATTCTCCAATATAAAACTAGTCTTAAAGTTGCATCAAGACATGAATCAGAAGAGGTATTGGCAATCAAGAACAATGATGAATCCCAATAATATTATTCCCACGTGCAAGTCAGAATGCATGTGTGCATGTCCGATTAGGCCCCTGGAAATTGACCAATGTAATAATGGACGGCAAATCGATAGGACCCCCCAAGTGGAATGGACATGGCTGATAGAGGAAAGCTTCAAGGGAGGAAAATGACAACACATACCTTCCAACCTAAATCAACAAGTGTATCACCAGCAGGACATATAGCAAGTGTGGCATCATTTCCATCACAGGAGCATATTTGTAGGAGGAAAAGGATTGAGATTTGAATTATTGCGTGAGTGTTTGTGTAGCTTTATCATTACGTTTCAGGTTCGCTTGAAAAGGGTTGTGTAATGAGCAACTTTCATAGATTCTAATGAGAATTAATGCATTTCCCTTTCAGAGAAAGCAATTTTGATGGCTAATTGATCGCTTGAACAGAAGGGAGCTGTGTGGCGCACTTGAGAATGAGAACCAAGGCACGCATGGCTTTTAACTTGTAAATATCTGTTTGGTAGGTTAAGGCCCCAACTATGATGATTGATCCACGTACCCCTCAATGCCAACGATGCATTAGGTTTAAGATGCTACCATCACATTGATTAGGCGGAGTTCTCAATCATTTAACTAAGTTAACTCATTTGGTTGAAATGGCGAAACTGAATAAATCCAAACCTAAGCTCCCCTTAAATTTACGTGTCAGTGTTCTGTACATCGCTGTGAAAAATATGATCGCATTCATGAAATAAATTTAATTTTATTATGTGGGATAAAAAAATCGCCGGGATCAAAATTGAGAAGTACAAATAAAATGTTTATGGGTTGATGCTGAAATAATTCAAAATGCTCATGCTTGAATATGTGTGACAATAGATTTGATGATCATGGGACACATCATAAGATATTTAAAAGACCAGAATTCAAACTCTTTCTTCCTTTGTTGTTTTTTTTTAAGAGGCAAAACTCACTTTTCACAGCAACCAAGGTGGCAACTATGGTCGATTTCCCTGTGTTTAAATTTAAAAAAGAAAATTATGTAACAGCCGCATTAATAAAGTTGCTGGAAGTGAAAGTTAAACTTGAATCAACAAATAAATTGTGAAGGAAATGTGACTAATATATCATGGAAGGGTTGCGCTTGCCTTAAAGATTGATTTGAATAGCTAGTGACAAAGTGACGACAATGGGGCTTGAGGGGGGGGGGTCACTCACTGCTTTAAGTTTGATAATTGGCAAAGGTCATGAAAAGTTGAAAGTTGCCGTATTTCTATATCTTTATCAAACAACAGACTGAGATGATCCACAGTCCTAACCATATGTTCCCTTCCTGTTCCTTATTCCCTTTTCTTTTATATAATAATTGCTACCCATCTCCCCCATTATCTTCAGTTCTTCTATTTCCTTCCTCTCACCACCTTTCCGTTTCAGTTGAAATTAAATTACTACATCCACCATGACATCATTCTTTTCCATCTTCTTACAGTACTGTTCATTTAAATGCTTCATTAACTCCCCCCCCCACCAAAAAAAAAAAAAAGGACAGAGTCCCAACACATTTTTTGTTTGTAATGTCCGGGCTGAACTCTGATTCTCATAATGTTACTGCTTGAATTGCTTAACGAAGAGACCCGTCTAAGTGACTAAACCAGTAAACATATGCAACCAAACGTGAGGATCCGCATATAGCTTATGAAATAGTGAATAATGAGTGCCGCTATCTGAGTGCGGCCTGCACTGAAGAATACAGTTTATTGTAATACATATGGACGAAGTCAGTGGCAGTTAAAGAGCAATAGGTCATAACCTACGCATTTCTGTAACATGCCTTGTTCAGGGGAAGGGGTGGATCTGAGAAAGCCCCGCTTGAGATTTGATCAAAGACGACTTTGTTTGCTGCTTCCGTGTAATGAATTCCATCCCAATTCACTCGAGTTGATGGGGTTTCACACGATCCCACAAAAATGTCAGTGCCATTCACAGTAACTTTGCCTCCGCACAGAACACTCCCAAAGTTGTACTCTCCTCCATAGCCACAACATGCCACCAGTGGCTTCTCGAATCCTACAAATTCATCATCCCAACTTTACCACTCACATCCACATATGAATACTAATCAAGTCAGTCTGTCCATAGAAATGTAATCATTGTTATCTAGTCTTACCGTATTTCTTTGGGTTGCTGAACAGAGAATATTTGACAGAATAAATATCTACATATGTGATTGCAGCCAGTGGGAGGTCTTTTCGAAGTTGAACTGTTGCTTCCTTCAACTTGTAGTTGAAGTATTGAGCTACTTCGTTATAAGGCTTTGCACAACCAAATGCATCCCTTTCAGCAGATAAAAAGTTGGCCAAAATGTAAGGGAGGCATCCAATGGGTCCTGTATTATGTATCCAGAACGACCTAGCTCCCAAATTGTATATGCTCTTCATCATCGAGTTACACCAATTTAGAACAAAAAATCAGCAGGGGGGGGGGGGGACGGCCCAACCATAATTCAAAACTGTGATGTTTGGATATATAATTACCGTGAGATTGGTTGAGAAAGTATTGATTATATCAGGTATGGAAGCTTTGACTTGTTCTACGGTTTTGTTATTGAAAAAGCCAGCCCCCAGATCATTTTGACCGATATCAAATGTGTATAGAGCTTCAGCAAAATACTTTTCTTTGGGCATCAGGTTTGCGAATATTCCTCCTGACACCAAACAATTTCATACAAATCCCAGAATAAATTATTGCTTATAAGAACCGAAAAGCACAAAACAGATCTCAACGATTCATGTTAATGAGCACCTTGACGTCGAATAAATTGTGTTCTGGGTATGAACTCGTTGAATTGAAAGTACTGGATGTTAAGGTAAAAGGGACTGAAACCACCCCCTGGTATGATGCTAGGTGGAAGCGTGATCGTCGATGCTGCTGTTGCAAAATTTGCTCCATGCGTAAAGTTGGTCCCGAGAGAATCAAGATACGCACTGAGATAAGGGAGTCCAAAATTTTGGGCTGAAATTACAGAGATACTCATGAAGACAATAAATAAAAAATATTAATTTATTTTCTAATAGATGTATATTACAACATGGAAAATAACTTTCGTTCTGCACTAAGATGAAATGATGGGGGAACATGGTATATTTTTTTTTTCGGTGTATTGCCAAAAGTTCTACAAAAATACAATTCTTGTGACATTCCATCTTTGTACGTGCATTAATTGCCTCCACCTGTTTGGCCAAGAAAAAAAGCCTCCACCAGGAAAAAAATTCAAAAAAGGAGAAAAACCTTCTCAGTTGCTAGTCGCTATTATGGACCACTTTGGTTAAAACAACAGTCAAAGTAAGTGATTTTGAACGCATTGACGGACTAATCAAACTACCAATACTGCCAAGCCATCTTCATCATCAACATCCTTTGTATTCCATTCTCTAACATCACAGAGCAGACACAAACATAATTTGTAAATTCAAGATAAATGAAGAGGCATGCTTATCTAATAATAGAATGAAATTGTGGCTGCATGTGTATTTCAGTGAAAAGGGTATATGTTACCACTTAAATTGCTGAACTAAAAGGCCCTCTAAGTGACTGAGAAAGCAAACATGTGCGGCAAAAAGTGAAGATCAGTTATCAGACGAATACCTATGAAATCAATGACAAGACGACCGTCAGAGAACCTTCCTGCGGGTCTGTGAAAATATGTCTCCCCATACGGTGGGGTCGGTGCTTCAAGTGAAGCAGCCAAGCCTCCAGTATCGGAGTTAGAATCACCGAAGTTAAAGATGGCTGGAAATTCACACACTTTAGTTGCAAAAACGGGGCTCAGTAACGTGCTAGCAATACATAAAATCACCAAGCAACGAAGGAATGAGATCACAAACTTGGTGTTGTAAAGAGACTCCATTGGCCAAAAGCATATAGAGATGATAAGGAAACTTGGGGCAATTATATGGTGTAACTAATGGTGGGCTTTTCCTGCCTAGTCCTAGGCGTGATGTAATGCAGGGTTGTATTTTAGTTTGACCAGGCTTTATCCATTTTCTTCGCTAAACAGGGGGTCAAGAGGCCCATTCACAGATGATCTTGACGGAACTGATCTGCAGTCCGCCATACGCAAAGAAGTTATGTGTTTAACCGACTTTTTGCATCTTAGCTCAATCAATTCAATCTCCACGCACGCCATGTATCCAGATGAAATTTGAAGATTTGACATAATTCACATTTTAGACGTCAAGCTGCTTGTTGGATTGGCTTCGACTTTTCTTCTGCATTAATTACTCAGATCCTGGCATCCTTGTTCAGCATCAGCCCTCCCAAGAAAAGAGTCACGTGTTCCTTTTATACAGCTAATTATGACCTTTATTTCACGTCTTTGACTTCCCACCGTTTTTTCGCGAAAACCTTCGTGCTTGGATTGAAATATTTACAGCAACGTGGCCCGAAGTCTCCTTATATATATAATATATAAATATAGAGACGAAATTTTCAAGTTTCTTCTAAAGAAGTGTGTCTCATTTTTTTTTAGTTTTATCATATTTAGAGATGTAGAAGATATTAAAAGGCACATTGAATTAAAATTAGTTATATAACACGTTAGAATTAATAAAATCACCCTTCAAGATGCAAATAATAACATATATTTTTCCATATATACATGAATTAATAGGTTTTTGAGATTTAAAAATTAGGAAATAATAATTCTGATATAAATATTATAAAATAAAAAGAGCGAAATTTTAAAAAGAAATGATAAGGCTATATTTGCCAGCTTATTATTAGGTCCACTCCCCACTCCTCTTGAAGTAAACAAGATTACTTCCCTTCCAAGTTCCAACCAAACGCACCGGCGTGACGTTATCAAATATGATACAGCTGAATTGATTGGCTGCCAGAGATCACGAGTTTACAATCTATTGATGATTTCTGTAACATGCCTTGTTCAAGGGAAGGGGGGGATCTGAGAAAGCCCCACTTGAGATTTGTTCAAAGACGACTTTGTTAGCTGCCTCTGTGTAATGAACTCCGTCCCAACTTATTCGAGTTGATGGGTTTTCACATGATCCCACAAAAATCTCAGTACCATTCACAGTCACTGTGTTTCCACACCTAACATCGCCGTGTTTGTACTCCCCCCCATATCCACAACATGCCACAAGTGGTTTCTCGAAACCTACATATTCATCAATCCAACTTTACCACTCCACATCCTCAGATAATCCTAAATTTGCGCATATGAAAATTGTGATCATTGTGTGTATCTTACCATATTTCTGCGCATCGCTGATCAGAGAATACTTGACGGAGTAGACATCTACGTATGTGATGGCAGCTAAAGGGAGGTCCTTTCGAAGTTGAACTACGGCTTCCTTCAACTTGTGATTGAAGTTTTGAGCTAGTTCATTATATGACTTTGCACAACCCGACGCATCTTTTTCAATAGATGAGAATTTGGTCAAAGTATCAGGGAGACATCCAAAAGGTCCTGTATTGTGAATCCAATACGATCTACCTCCCAAATTGTATATGTTCTTCATCAAGTTCGCCATTTTAGAAATTGAAAAAAAGTTAGTAAGAAATTAATTAGAACCTGAGCGTAATCCAAGTTATCAATGATTGTGTATTAAGTTACCTTGACATTTGTTGAGAAAGCACTGATTATTTCGGGGATGGAAGCATTAATCTGCTCCACAGTCTTGTTAGTAAAAACGCCAGCGTTAAGATCATTTTGACCGATATCGAATGTGTACAAAGCTTGACCAAAATACTCTTCTTTGGGCACCAGGCTTGCAAATACTCCTCCTAAAAGAAAATTTCTATCAGTTAAATGTTTTCGTGTTGATGAAGATCTGAATAGACAAAATAGCTATATATGTCAATGGATACCCTGTTGGCTGATAAATTGCGTTCTGGGAATGAATCTTGTGAACTGAGAGTATTGCATATCAAGGTAGAAAGGACTGAAACGACCCACGGGCATAACACTAGGTGGAGGTAAGATCGTTGATGCCACTGCTGCGAAGTTTGCTCCGTGCGTAAAGTTAGCCTCCAGAGAATCAAGATATGCACTAAGATAGGGAAGTCCAAAACTTTGAGCTAGAATTAAGACCAGAAAAAAAAAAATCAAGATTAATAATCCATAACTTTCACGGTAACACTAAATAAGCTTGTAATTTATAAATTATAATCTAAGTCGTTCGTGCGAAATAGGACTTGGTTTGATGCTTTTGAATTTGATTGACCTACCAGAGTCAAAATTAACTGTCACTATCAATATGCTCTGTTTTCCATGCTCTGAAACATTATAAGCATGCTTTTCTAACCTTTAAAAAAAGACAAAAGGTTGCTATCTAACAGAATTCAAAAACTGGAATGGAATGTGTATTGCTCTTTCAGTTGAAAGAGCACATGTCACCACTTGAGAATGGAAACATGTGCAGCAAAAAAAAAAAAGAAGAGAGAAGATCAATTAGGCAAATTAATAGGCACCTATGAAATCGATGATGAGACGGCCATCAGAACCCCTTCCTGCTGGTCTATGAAAATAGGTCTGACCATAAGGTAGTGTTAGTTCAAACAAAGAAGCATCAAAGCCACCAGTATCGGAGTTGGAGTCACCAAAGTTGAAGATGGCTGGAAATCTACAAACTTTAGTGGCCTGAACTTGGTTCAACAAGGTGGTTGTGATACAAAAAAGCACCAAACAATAAGGCAATGAGAAGGGAAGCTTGGTAGTGCTAAGAGACTCCATTGGTCAATTCAATACACAGAGAAAAGAAAGCAAACTTGGGGCCTTTTTACGGTACTGCCGATTGCCAATGGTTGACTTTCTCCATTGTTTAAACCTTCCTTCACTGATGAGATGATATGGTCGCCTGCTACGGATCCAGAAGAAATAAAACGCAGAAAATAAATAGGTAAAGGTTTTATACTTATCATGCTTTGACGTGATAAAAAATTATTATTAGCGTATGTCATGATTGCTAGAGCTGAGATTGGGTTCCGTCGTTAACACTTCAAATACAAATGATATTTTCCTAAACTCATGCATAGACTTCGGTATGCATTACATTAATATTGCTGGCGTGTAACTTTTTCTAATCAATCAAAGTCAAACCATACCTAAGTGAAGGAAACAGAGTAACTTGTATACCAATATTATGACAAAATTATAATAACATTGACTAAATTATAAAATCATTTTAGCTACAAGCACATCATTACAAAACAAATAATCTAAGTAGAGTTTTCCATTACTTTAAGTCTTTCATACGTTTTTGAATGTCAACGAAAAGCAAAGTGCAACAAATTAAGCAATAAATTTGTTTTTTCCCCTAATAATTGTGCCAAAGATTTTTAATGATTTCTCAAAATAGAATTGTTATTTTTTATTGTTTGACCTTGTCAAAGTAACACAACAGACAATTTGTATTGTATTCAAATTATTCTTTTTTCAATCATAGCATCTTTTAATTGATAATGTACTTCCTTCGTCGATCATCAATATAGTCAGAATATAAAATTGAATTGAGTTGGTTACGATAACAGCAACTGATGATGTTAACATCAATGTTGTATTGCACAGTGGAACACAAAGATCCCTGGGAAACTTGGGTGTTTATAGTAGCTTCAGACGTTATTCAGTTTTTTTTTTTTCCCCTTCCTGACGTTATTTATTTGATTTTGTGAATTTTGGCAAAAATGAGCAGGGAAAAATTTGATGTGATGAGTGGACTTAATTATATTATGGACAGAACCAATTTCAGTATTCATCACTTTGACAAGCACTCTAAGCTCATCAGATTTTAACTGTTTATATTTGATTTAAACAGCCCAAATTTAAAATCTTTAATTGATTCTTTGTAAAAAGAAAAATTATTTTTTGAAAGAATGATAGTTAAGAGATTATCCCTATTTTAGATTCTATACATATTAAAAAAATTATTTTAAATAAAAAAATAAATCAATCAAATGTGGACTATGTAAATAAGATATGGATGATTCAAACCGAAAATAGTACAAAAGATTGGGTAATTAGGCTTGGAGGTTGGACTGACAACGAAGAAGCGACCAGGTCACATAGATGGAGGTAGAGGGTGGCTTGGGTGTGAAGAAATTGTGTTGTTTCTCTCCCCCTGGCTTCCCTGCTCCTAACTCCATGAATTTTCTTTCGATTCTCCCTGAGTATCCCCTTCCATCTGACAGCATTTGTTTTCTTTTTCTGAATTGCTAAGTTGTATGGATATACTACCTCCCTTCCTAATTATAAGACCTCGTTTATAGTTTACAAATGAGGTCTTAGAATTAAATTAGTACCAAAGGTAGTATTTTGCAATGAGACTCTGTGGCTGAGCATTTCCATTAGTAATATAAGCATTTACAGTTTCAATTGCTCATTGTTCTAATTCATTACTCAGTGTTATAACCATTTGAGGGGGTGAATTCATCACAAATAACGTCGCGTTCAATTGGACTATCTCTTCTAATGGACATCGACCATGAGTTTTCCATGCTTTGCAAGGACGCAATGTTCATACATAGGTAGACAGATCGATGGGAAAGAGGGAAGGGAAGAAACATATAAAAATAAAGCTCAAGAAATAATGAATAATGAGTGCCACTATATGAGTGTGGCTTGCATGGAAGAACACACTTTATTTTAATACGTACGGACGAAGCGACCTGCAGCTAAAGAGGGATAGGTCACCACCGAAGCATTTCTGTAACATGCCATGTTCAGGGGAATGGGTGGATCTGAGAAAGCCCCGCTTGAGATTAGATCAAAGATGACTTTGTTTGCTGCCTCTGTGTAATGAACTCCATCCCAATTCACTCGAGTTGATGGTGTTTCACACGATCCCACAAAAATGTCAGTGCCATTCGCAGTAACCGTGCCTCCACATATAACACTGCCAAAGTTGTACGGCCCTCCATATCCACAACATGCCACCAGTGGCTTCTCAAATCCTATACATTCGATATTAAAGTCAAGTCTTGAGTCTGTGCATAGAGATGTAGTCATTGTTAGCTAGTCTTACCGTATTTCTTTGGGTTGCTGAACAGAGAATATTTGGCAGAGTAAATATCTACGTATGTGATTGCAGCTAGGGGGAGGTCTTTTCGAAGTTGAAATGTTGCCTGCTTCAACTTGTAGTTGAAATGTTGGGCTACTTCGTTATAACGCTTTGCACAACCAAATGCATCCCTTTCAGCAGATAAAAAGTTGGCTAAAATGTAAGGGAGGCATCCAATGGGTCCTGTATTGTGTATCCAGAACGACCTAGCTCCCAAATTGTATATGCTCTTCGTCATCGAGTTCCATCAATTGAGAACAAAAAAATCAGCAGGAAAAAAGGCCCAAGCATGATCCAAAATTGTAATATTGGGATATATAATTACCGTAAGATTGGTTGAGAAAGCATTGATCATATCAGGTACGGAAGCATTGACTTGTTCTACAGTTTTATTACCAAAAAAGCCAGCGCCCAGGTCATTCTGACCGATGTCGAATGTGTATAAAGCTTCAGCAAAATACTTTTCTTTGGGCATCAGAGTTGTGAATATTCCTCCTGCCAAACAATTTCATACAAATCCCAAAATAAATGATTGCTAGTGAGAATCGAAGAGCACAAAACAGATCATAATGATTCATATTAATTACCTTGGTGTCGAATAAATTGTGATCTGGGTATGAATTCTTTGAACTGAGAGTACTGGATATTAAGGTAAAAGGGACTGAAACCACCCCCTGTTGGTATGATGCTAGGGGGAAGTGTGATCGTCGATGCTGCTGTTGCAAAATTTGCTCCATGTGTGAAGTTCGTCCCAAGAGAATCAAGATACGCACTGAGATAAGGGAGTCCAAAATTTTGAGCTGAAATTACACAGATATTCATGAAGCCAATAATTCCAAAATATTAAATTATTTTCTAATGGATGCATATTGCAACATGGGAAATTACCTTCATTCTCTACTTAGACGAAATGACGGGAAAAATGGTTTTGTCGGAAGCAAAAATATTTCACTGGGTGTACTCCAAAAAGTTGTACAAAAATATGATTAATCTCTGCGCGTCATTTGGGCCTCCACCCAAAAATCAAAAAAATAAAAACCTTTTCACTTGTGTAAAAAAAAAAAAAAAAAAGTTAAAGTAGCTTTGAATGCATTGATGCTCTAATCAAACCACCACTAGTGCCGGCCCTTCTTCATCATCAATATCATCTGTATTCCAGTCTCTAACATCGCAGAGCAAAGGCACATACTTTCTAAGCTCAGGAGAAATGAAAGGCATGCTTATCTAATAGAAATTCGAAATTGTGGCTGCGTGGGTATTTCAAAGACGAGGGTATATATGTTACCACTTAAATTGATGAAATAAGAAGCCCATCTCAGAGAATATGAAAGCAAACATGTGCAGCAGAAAGTGAAGATCAATTGTTAGACAAATACCTATGAAATCAATTACGAGACGGCCATCAGATAACCTTCCTGCGGGTCTGTGAAAATATGTCTCACCATATGGTGGGGCCAGTGCTTCAAGTGAAGCAGCGAAGCCACCAGTATCGGAGTTAGAATCACCAAAGTTAAAGATGGCTGGAAATTTACAAACTTCAGTGGCGGAAACTGGGTTCAACAACGTGGTTGCAATACACAGCAGCACCAAGCAGCAAGGCAATGAGAAGGGAAGCTTGGTAGAGCTAAGAGCCTCCATTGGTCAAAACACAGAGAAAAGAAGGAAGTTAGGGTCTTTTTATGGTTCTGACAATGGTTGACTTTTTGTCTTTTCCCATTGTTTAAGCCTTCCTTCACTAATGAAATAATATTATCGGTTGCTATGGATTCAAACGGAAGAGAAAAAACAAAAAATAAATAGCAACGGTTCTAAACTTATCACGATTTATGATAAAGTTATTATTAGCGCATGTCATGATTTTATGATAAATATGTTCTTTTCCTGAGTTCTGAATTCTCAGGCTTATGCCAAAACAAGCTTTGTAGGGTACGGTAAACTCTTTCTCCTTTTTCAATACTTCCGAATTTTCATGGTTGAATATGCTATTTTAATATTGCATTTACATTGTCGATTTCTGATCAATCGGAGTCAAACCATGCCTGATTGAAAGAAACGGATTAACTTATTCATATGGGACTATATTGACAAAATTATAATGTGAATGAAAAGTAAAGCCCACCAGATTAAGCGAGAAAAAAAATGTTTTTCCCCCAAATAATTATGCCAGAGATTTTGAATGATTCTCAACACGGGAGACATGATTTTGTATTTTATTCACATTATTTATTTATTTTTAAAGTAGCGTCTTCCACTTAATAATATACTTCGCCGTCGGTATAGTTAGAAATATATAAAGATTGATCTGGTAACGATCACAGCAATGAATATTGTTATGAATGATGCACCATATGTTAAAAACTTATTCGACATAAACGGAGGCAGTGACTAGCATATTTGGAATCACTGGAATCCTTTTAAGGTGTAATACTGTTAACTATGGGGGAGATGACAAGTCATGTTCAGTGGGGTTGGAGGATGAGAGAAAGCTCCAGAAGAGATGCGATGGAAGACGAATTTGTTAGCAGCCTCTGTATAGTGAATGCCATCCCAATTCACTCTCACAGATGGTTTCTCACAAGCCCTTCCATACACTTCACTTCCATTCACCACTTCTGACGACCCACACCCTACAATCCCATAGTTGTACTTCTCTCCATACCCACAACATGCCTCCAAT